CTTCCTCCAGTGAAAAAGTGCATCTGCTGTTGTCTCTCACATCAAAATCCAGCCACATATGTGTTTAGAGCTGTTTAGACGATCTGTGATCTGTGCAGATTTCTCTCCTGATTCACACCAGAACACTTTTTCACTGGAGGAAGCGTTATTATGGATTATGGACTCTGTTATTGGTTAAAAACGTCTTAATGCTGGATTAGTTTCAGCTTTTGTCTTCTCCAGATGTTAACTGATGGACTGGAGTGCTGTGGATTACTTGTGGATTATTGTGATGTTTTTATCAGCTGTTTGGACTCTCATTCTGACGGCACCCATTCACTGCAGAGCATCCATTGCTGAGACACTGATGCAATGCTACATTTCTACAAACCTGATGAAGAGACAAACTCATCCTGATCTCAGATGATCTGAGGGTGAACACATTTTCAGCACTTTTTTTAATTTTCTGGTGAACTATTGGTTTAATAGCAGCAGCTTATTCATTTATTTAGGATTCTTACACTAGAAATCCGTTTCTCTGATGTGGAAATGTCTCACTAACACTTGACCAGGATTTGAAGGATCTTTACATCCTGATATCAGAGTTCACACGGATCCGTGAGAGATTTTTTAAGAATCAGTAAAGAGTGCCGGTTTGAATAGATCATTGTGATCACTGTATGTTAATAGTGGAGATCCGTGTTTTTGTGCAGGTGAATGATCTGATCTGATCTGATCTGATGTGTGTGTGTGTGTGTGTGTGTGTGTGTGTGTGTGTGTGTGTGTGTGTGTGTGTGTGTGCGCGCTCAGAACCACTGCAGCGAATCAAGGGTCTTGCTCTGGGACCCCATAAGTGACTTGCATCATGTGTGCTATTGATGATGCAGGAGAGAGAGACAGAGAGATGTCATTCACTGTTGTTGATTTTCTACAGAATCACAATCACATAAATTATTATTGGAAAATAAGAGGAAGATCTTTATTGAACATGCAGACTTGTTGTAATAAAAAAAAAAAAGTAGAAGACATGTTTTATTAAAAAAAAAAAAATATATATATTGTGTTTGTGTGTGTGTGCGTGTGTGTGTGTGTGTGTGTGTGTGTGTGTGTGTGTGTGTGATAATCCGTTTCTAATCCTCTGATGTCACACAGACTATGATGCCTGGAGGGTGTGTCTCCGTCTCCGTGACAACGGTCTGTTGGCCAAGCCCACTCACGGTGACATCATCAGACTAGCCCCGCCCCTCATTATAAAGGAGGATGAGGTCAGAGAGTGTGTGGACATCATCAGCAGGACCGTCCTGTCCTTCTAAGCCACTGGAATCATCATCATCTGAGTGGTTTTCACCTGTAATTCTTCTGATTTTAGCCTGCTTTGTTTTATCGTGTTTTTCATGAGCTGTTACAGTCACTCGGGTCAACATAAAATCCGCTCGACGCTCACCGGGGCTTTTAGCTCTTTCAGAGTTATGCTTATTTAGTTTTTCATTCTCAACTGAACTTGAGATTCTTGAATAGTAGTTTCTCTCTGGACGACGGTCTGTTTTAGTTCTGCTGAAGTGTCGTGGACGTTTCTGAAGGCGAACGCTGTGACGTTTACAGTTTCTGTCCTCCAGAGGAAAGTGAATGAAGGACACTGTCACAGTGTTTGAAACATGTTTAAAAGTTGTTTTGCTGTGAACACTTGAATAGAATGAGTTTTTCTCCCTGATGAGAGAATAGTGCACTTTAACTGCAGTCTTTAATGATGTAAAACAAAGACATAATCAAACTGAATTATTCACAGCCACATTCTGCTGCGTTTATTAACGATTTACAAATGAAACATTAGGAAAACAGCATAAACAGAAACTGTTTGGAGAATGCTTGTTTGTGTTTATTTCTGTAGAACGTTTAGCTAACGTTTAATGAATGGAGCATCAGCTCGTACATCAGATGATGTTTTATTTCTGTTATTAAATACATTTTCAGTCAGCTGAGAGTCTTTGTGTTTGTTTTATGTCTAAATTAATGAGTTTGATATATCAAAATGTATTTTAGAAAAGCTGGAATGGTATTTCGTAGACAAACATTTTCATTATATATCACTGATTGAAAGTTGTTTCTGTCCTCAGTATCAAACCAAACCATCATCCTCCAGGAAGTGACATCACTTTGGAGGGAAATCAACAGCACAATATATTCTGATAAATGTAACATTGACTTCAATGCTCTGAGAGACTGGATGCTTTCGACTGATTTCCTATTGAACTGAACTGCAGCTCAAACTATTTCAAATACAGTGAATTAAGCTACAAACTCAATACATTGTGTGTGTGTGAGATTGTATATATGTGTGTGTGTGTGTGTGAGTGAGTGTGTGTGTGATTGTATATATGTGAGTGTGTGTGTGTGAGATTGTATATGTGAGTGAGTGTGTGGTGAGTGAGTGAGTGTGAGTGTGAGTGTGAGTGAGTGAGTGTGTGTCTGAGTGAGTGAGTGAGTGAGTGAGTGAGTGAGTGAGTGAGAATAATGTATGCATGGGC